GAGGACAGCCGCTTCCGTGCAGTACAGCAACACATGCACAATGCTAGGCAGAGAGGACAGCCGCTTCCGTGCAGTACAGCAACACATGCACAATGGTAGGCCCAGAAGAAAGGAGAGAGAGAAAGGAGCAGAATATTTGAAAAAATAATGGCTGAAAACTTTGCCAATTTAATTAAAAACATTCATCTAGACATCTATAAAGCTCAATGAACTCTGAGTAGGATAAACTCAAAGAGAATTCACACCTAGACATATCACAATCAAACTGTCAAAAGATAAAGAGAAAATCTTGAAAGCAGCAAAAGATACTCATCACATACAAGGGATCCTCAGCAAGATTAATGGCTGATTTCTCATCAGAAGCTATAGAGGCTAGAAGGCAGTGGGATGACATAGTCAAAGTGCTAAAAGAAAAAAAATCTGTCAACCAAGATTCTATAGCCAGCAAAGCTATGCTTCAAAAATGAGAGAGAAATTAAAACAGCCCCAGATAAACAAAAACAGAGAATTCATCGCCAGAAGACCTATCCTATAACCCTACAATAAATACTAAAGGGAATCTTTCAGGCTGTAGTGAAAAGACACTAGAGAGTAACTCAAATCCACATGAAGGAAAAAAGAGCACTGGTAAAGGTAATTGCATGGGAAAATATAAAGACAGTGTAAATGTGGTTTTTGTCTGTAACTCCTTTTTTCTCCTATCTGACTTAAGGCAACTGCATAAAGCAATAATTGTAAATCTGTGCTGATAAGCAAAAAATGTATAAAGATACAATCTATATGCAATAACAGCACAAAGGAGCAGAGGAAATGAAGCTATATAGAAATCAAGTATTATTATTGAAATCAAGTTGATATTAATGCAAACTAGATTGTTATAAGTTTCAGAGGTCATTTGTTAATCTCCCAAGTAACCACTAAGAAAATAACTAAAAGAACACTGAAAATGAAATGAAAAAGGAATCAAAATTGCATACTACAAAAACAAAATCAATTAAATACAAAAGAAGGTAGTAATGGAGAAACTGAGGAACAAAACTAATATATGACATATAGAAAATAACAAAATGATAGAAGGAAGTCCTTCCTTATCAGTAATTACTGCGGATGTAAATGGATTAGATTCTCTAACTAAAAGGCAGAGATTGGCACAACGGATGAAAAAAAATATGAAAAACTAAAATGTGCTCTAAAAAGACACATTTTAGATTCAAGTCACAAATAAGTTGAAAGTGAAAAGACGGAGAAAGATATATTATGCAAACAGAAACCAAAAAGGAGCTGGGATAGCTCTCATAACATCAGACAAAATAAAACTTAACTTAAAAAGTTTTACTAAAGACAAAGAAGGACATTTTATATTGATAAAAGGGTCAATTCAGGATGAAGATATAACAATCACAAAAATATGCCCAAACAATAGAGCCCCAAGATATATAAATCAAAACCCAACAGAATTGAAGAGGAAAAGGACAATTCAACAATAGTTGGAGACTTCAATACTCCTTGCAGAAATAGAACTAGATGGAAAATCAACAAGCAAATAGAAGACCTGAATAACACTATAACTAACTAGACTTAACAGACATCTCTAGAATACTCCACCCAACAACAGCAGAATACCCATTTTCTCAAGTGCACATGGAACATTCTCCAAAATAGACCATATGTTAGGCCAAAAACAAGTTTCAATAAATTTAAAAGGACTATAATCTCACCAAGTATGTCCTCTGACCACACTGGAATGAAATTAAAAATCAACAACAAAAGGAAAAGAGGAAAATTCACAAATATATGGAAATTAAATAATGTACTCCTAAATTACCAATGGATCAATGAAGACATCACAAGGGAAACTAAATATACTTTGAGACAAATGGAAACAAAAACACAGCATGCCAAAACTTACAGGATGCAGCAAAAGCAGTGCTTATAGGGAAATTTATAGCTGAAAATTCCTATATTAAAAAAGAAGACAGTGGGCTGGCCCAGTGGCGCGGCGGTTAAGTGCGCGCGCTCCACTGTGGCAGCCTGGGGTTCACAGGTTCAGATCCTGGGCACGCACCGACGCACTGCTTGTTGAGCCATGCTGTGGTGGCGTCCCATATAAAGTAGAGGAAGATGGACACGGATGTTAGCCCAGGGCCAATCTTCCTCAAGAAAATAGGGGAGGATTGGCATCAGATGTTAACTCAGGGCTAGTCCTCCTCACAAAAAAAAAAAAAGAAGAAAGTTATCTCAAATCAATGACCTAGCTGTCCACTCTAAGAAGCTAGACAAAGAAAAGTAAATTAAATCCAAGGCAAGAAGAAGGAACAAAATAATAAAGATTAGAACAGAAAGAAATGAAATAGAGAAGAGAAACAATAGAGAAATCAACAAAATCAAAACTTGGTTGTTTGAAAAGATCAACAAAATCGACAAAGGTTTAGGTAGACTGACCAAGAAACAAAGAGAAGGCTCAAATCACTAAAATCAGCAATGAAAGAGGGACATTACTACTGACTTAACAGAAATAAAAACAACTAAAACGGAATATGATGAACAGTTATATGGCAACAAATTAGATAACCAAGACAAAATGGACAAATTCCTAAAGACATAAACTACCAAAACTGACACAAGAAATAAAAAACCTGAACAGAACTTTAACAAGTAAAGAGATTGAATTAGTAATCAAAAACTTCTCACAAAGAAAAGCCTGGGACCAAATGCCCTCACTAGCAAATTCTACCAAATGTTTAAAGAAGAATTAACATCAATCTTTCATAAACTCTCACAAAAGGCAGAAGAGGAAGGAACACTTTTCAACTCATTCTATGAGGTTGGTATTACCCTAATACCTAAACCAGACAAAGACATCACAAGAAAAGAAAACTGCAGACAAAAATCCCTTATGAACATTGACACTAAAAAATCTTCATCAAAATACTAGCAAACAGGGGTCGGCCTGGTGGTGTAGTGGTTAAGTTCACCTGCTTCGCTTTGGCAGCCTGGGGTTCGCAGGTTCAGATCCTGGTTGCAGATCTAACACTGCTTGTCAAGCCATGCTGTGGTGGTGTCCCATATACAAAGTAGAGGAAGACTGGCAGAGATGTTAGCTCAGGGCCAATCTTCTTCACCAAAAAAAAAAAATACTAGCAAATAGAATCCATCAACATATAAAAAGGATACACACCAAGACTAAGTGGGATTTATCCCAGGAATATAAGGTTACCTCAACATACAAAAATAATCAATGTAATACACCATATTAATAGAATATAGGACAAAACCACATAGATGTAGAAAAAGCATCTTATAAAATCCAACACCTTTTCACGATAAAAACACTCAGTGAACTAGGAGAAGGGAATCTCCTCAACCTGACGAAGGGTATCTACAGAAACCCACTGCTAACGTCATACTTGATGGCTAAAGGTTAAAAGCTTTCCCCTGAGATGAGGGAAAATCAAAGGACCACAGAATAGCCAAAACAATCTTGAAAAAGAGAAACAAAGTCGGAGGACTGACATCATCTGATTTAAAAACTTCCTATAAAGCTACAGTAATAAGACAGCGTGGTACTGGCATAAGGATAAACTGACAGTCCAAAAATAAACCCAACGTTTATGGTCAATTAACATTTTTATTGTGGTAAAATACACATAAAAAATTGCCATTTTAACCATTTTTAAGTGTACAGTTCAGTGGCATTAAGTACATTTACATTGTTGTGCAACCATCACCACCATCCACCTCCACACCTTTCTCAATATTCCATACTGAAACTCATACCCATTAAACAGTAACTCCCATTCCTCCCTCCTCTCAGCCACTAGTAACACTGTTCTATTTTATGTCTTAATGAATTTTAATATTTTAGGTACCACATATAAGTGGAATTATACAATATTTGTCCTTGGTCAACTGACTTTTGACAAAGCTGCCAAGAAAATGCAATAGGGGAAAAGACAGTCTTTCCAACAAATCTGTTGGAACAACTGGATATCTATATAGAAAAGAATGAAGTTGGGTCTCCACCTAACACCGTATACAAAAATTAACTCAAACTAGATGAAAGACCTAAATGTAA